TCATAAGTCGTCTGCATGGAAACACAGCTGTTGTGCATTCTTCTCCCCCCCTTCTCCCGCCTCACAAGCACACGCTGCTCCTTCCGTCCCCATCATGCGATCTTCCAGTCCAGGCAGGACCCTGGATTTCCCTTCTCTGCCACCTCCAGCAACTGCCCACTCAAAGGCAGCCCTTCAGGGATCCCTGCCTTGACTCCTTGCCTGTTTGGGCAGCTGTGCAGGAGGCGGAGAAGTCTGGGCTTCTGCCCGGACTGGAAGATCAAGCGACGGAGAGGAGGAAGAGAACACATGGCAGCTATGTTGACGTGCAGATGACTTATGACATCTCCGTTCTCTACTCAATGTTATAATTATCATATCCTTAGAACTGCAGAGCTAGAAGGGACCCTCTGAATCAGATCAAGCCCCGGTCAAGAAGGCCCAGTGGGGGAATCGAACTCCCAAACTCTTGCTCTACAGCCAGAGACTTAAACCATTAAGCTATCCAGCAGTTCTATGTTAATGTATTGATTTCTATTCAGGGCATCTGCAATATAATTGTCTTCGCTGGAAATGTGAATCTACACAAGGTAAGGATGTCTGTCGATATCATATTCCCAGATATAGGCTGGTAGAAGTAGCATTTATTTATTTTATTTATGTAAAATATTTTTACTTCTCTTTTCTCCTTAAAAAGGACCCAAGGCAGCTTACATCATTAAAAAGTAGTAGTAAAAGCTTAAAACAAAGGTAGGGTACATCTTTAAAAGACAATATTTAAAGCTGAAAAAAAGCTTAAAACAAAGGCAGGGTACATCTTTAATAGACAATATTTAAAGCTGAAAACAATAAATATACAAATACTTAAAAGAATCGAACAAATACCACTCTCAAGAAAGGGTAAACAAAAGCAATACTAAGCAGCAAAGCATAACAATCCATGTAAAAATCCCTCTCGGACCCCCCAGCCATTAAGGAAGAGCCTGCTTGAAGAGAAAGGTCTTTGCCTGCCTATGGAAGGAGAGCAAAGATGGGGCCAGCCTGGCTTCCAGTGGCAGTGAGTTCCAGAGGCTGGAAGCAGCCACAGAGAAGGCCCTCTCTCATGTCCCCACCAAGCTAAGCAGTAAAGCATAACAATCCATGTAAAAATCCCTCTCGGACCCCCCAGCCATTAAGGAAGAGCCTGCTTGAAGAGAAAGGTCTTTGCCTGCCTATGGAAGGAGAGCAAAGATGGGGCCAGCCTGGCTTCCAGTGGCAGTGAGTTCCAGAGGCTGGAAGCAGCCACAGAGAAGGCCCTCTCTCATGTCCCCACCAAATGCACCCCTGAGGCTGACAGGACTGAGAGAAAGGCCTCTGCTGATGATCTTAACACCCAAGCAGGTGTATAACAAGAGGCATGGTCCTTGAGATAGCTTGGGCCCAAGCTGTTTAGGGCTTTATAGATTAGAATCAACCCTTTGAATTGTGTTCAGAAACAGATCAGCAGCCAGTGGAGCTGTTGTAATGGTGTGTGAGTGTGTGTTATGCGATTCCTGTAACCAGCCCCAGTCATCAATCTGGCTGCCATTTTGGACCCACTGAAGTTTCCGGACACCTTCCAGAGGCAGCCCCAGGTAGAGCACTTTACAGTCATTCAGCCAAGATGTAACTAAGGCGTGTGTCACCATGGCCAAATCAGATCTCTCCAGGAACAGGTGCAGCTGGTGCAATAATTTCAACCGTGGAAATGCCTTTCTGGACACCCTTGAAGCCTGGCATCCAGGCTCAACGATGAATCCACATGCACCCTAAGCTGTACACCTGTTTTCCAGGAGGAACGTAACCTCATCCAGCACAGGCTGCGTCCCTATTCCTTGATCTGCCTTTCAACTGACCAGAGACACCTTTGCCTTGCATGGATTAAGTTTCAGTTTATTCGCCTTCATCCCGTCCATTACTGATGCCCCAAACATTGATCTAGACCTGTCATCCTTCCTTGGATTTAGGTGGCAGGGAGCGGTGGAGCTGGGTGTCATCAGCATACCGGTGACACCGAACCCCAGACAATCTCTCCCAGCAGTTTCATGTAGATGTTAAATAACAGGGGAGACAAAACAGAACCCCGAGGGGCCCCCTCAGGCCAGTGGCCAGGGTGTCAAACAGGAGTCTCCGAGCACCACCTTCCGAGTTCTCTCTTCCACTAGAGCGACCATAAAACACTGCCTTCTAGTCCCGTCCAAGAGAATTGGCCCAGAAGGATCCAGTAGAACCAACAGGGACACCCTCCCCCTATCTAGTTCCTGGTGCAGGTTGTTCTCCTTGCTTAGCTAGAACTTCAAAGCCAGTAGTTCCTGGTGCAGGTCATCCTCCTTGCTTAGCTAGAACTTCAAAGCCAGAGAATAGTTTTTATTGTTTATTATCACAGTTGAAAGGCAGTGTCTTTCTTTATTTGAGTACAATATTGCACCTATGCATTGAATTGTCCTTGTCGGCAGACTTGACTTTTTCCAAGTTGATTTTTAATTCAAGATCTGACCACTGTTGCAATGTCACCTAAAATATTTCTTGTAATCTTTCCTTCCAATTCACCACAATTAACCAGTCGGACTACAGAGGAGAACATATTTATTCCTCTTCCCCTGAGATACACGGCAGCCGGTGCCACATATTTGTAAAAATTCAGGGTGCTGTCAAGAGGCTAAGCAAAATCACCTTGAATTCATAAATTCAAGGTCAACAATGAAAAATGGAAGAAACAATTATGATTTGTAATATCACTATGTGGAAATAAGTGTCTTTCAAATCCACTACTACAACCCAGGCCTCTTTCAAAAGTGAGAGTACGTTTGCAAGCATCACCATTCTGAATTTTCCGGCAATAATGTAACAGTCTATATTCTGCAAGTCTAGTAGAAGATGCGACCCTCCATCTTTTTTTGGCATGGTGATAAAAACAGAAATTAGAAGCCATTGTTCACGCATGTTGAGAATCTGGTATTGCATTATTCTGCAGAAGAGCGGCAATTTCTTCCTCCAATAGTTCTGATGGTTTTGTTGACAGAAAGACATTGAGCAGTGGTATTGTTTCGATTTCAGTGGAAAAGCTATGAAGGTAAACACCCACTGGTTGTAGGTGAGGGAGTGCCAAGTGTCATAAGAAGGCACAAAGGCAAACTGGGAAGAAGGGATGGCCCCCTTTTACTGCTCCAGCTCTCTCAGTCTACTCTACACCCTTCAACTTGTAGCATGGAAGAGTTAATATGACCAGCTCATATGCTCTGGATGTTGCCTCTTACTGGGCAAAAAATTATCTTATTAATTGTACTTTAGTGCTTCTGACACAGAAGAAGATTACTCAGTGTGCAAGGATATGAGATAATTACTTACAGAACCATCAGCTGTCAGCACTTCATCAGTTTAAAGTCATTTTTCTCCCTCAGGGAGAGATTGACCTGACTGGGTTCTCTATTTTTTACTTTTATCACCCATCTCCAAATGTTAGGAGTTAACTAGAATCGAGAGCTTATTCACTCTTTCCTACTATCTCTTGAAGTTGCAAATTGCTCCTCTTCTTCTGCTTGACCTCTTAGGTGTTCTAATTATCTCTCTGAGTTAGTTTGGAAATCCCTTAAGTAATTTTATCACCTACAGATAACAATAAGAGATCCAGTGATAGAAACGGCATAGCTTCTCTTTCCTTGATGGCCTTGGGGGAAAAAATTAGAAACTAGGCCACTGCCCTCATATTTTGGATCAATGTCTCTATTTATAAAGCTCAATCTGACGAGATATGCAACCGTGTTTCACTTTAAAGGTGTTCTCTGGAATTTGTTACCATCAACAAGGATTTGTGTTGATGTGTACAACTCGCATATACAGTGGTGCCTCGCTTAACGAGTGCCTCGCTCAACGATGAATTCGCATAACGATGGCCTTTGCTGGAAATTTTGCTGCCTCACCTAACGATGTTTCCTATGGGGGATTTTCGCATAACGATGTTTGGGACCTTGCTTCACTTAACGATGACAGTTTTAGGTCCCCTGTTTCGCTTAACGTTTTTTTTTTGACAGCCCTGTTTTCGCTATTTTAAAAATATTCTAAAATGTTTAAAAATGTTTAAAATGCTTGGAATCATTAGTGCACCTAATAAAACCTTCGTTAAAGTAATTTGGCTTCGTTCTGAGTCTTTTTGAATTTTTGGTGATTTTTTTTTCCACCATTGAAATGCATTGAATAGGCTCCTATTGGAACGGATTAACCGGTTTTCAATGCATTCCTATGGGAAATGGTGTTTCGCTGAACGATGTTTTCACATAACGATGTTTTTAATGGAACCAATTAACATCGTTATGCGAGGCACCACTGTACTGCAAAATTGCCTTTAATTAGCAGTAATCTGCTGCTGGAAACCGTATCATCCCACTGCACACATGAAGCTGTGCAACAGGACCTCAACCTTATTTGCCTGCACAATGCTAGTATTACTTGATAGATTTGCTAGCTTTTCAATCTCAGGGCTTCAACCTTATTTGCCTGCACAACGCTAGTATTACTTGATAGATTTGCTAGCTTTCATGTATGTGACAACGTATGAACTTGTGAGGATCAAAAGAGACTGCGGCTAGTGAGCCAAGATTAGACAGGCACTGGTTCTTCAGAAAGAGCGAAGTTTCATCCCTTGCCTGTCGAGACAACAAAATAAAAGCTGACTCAGACGAAACCATGGTGTGCATGTTCTAGTTTAAACCAATCAGGATTTCAGTGCTGAACTTGGCACACAAGGGAAAGATACATAAGACAGAAGCACACAAGTTTCACAATTGTTCCCACATTTCATAAACCATGATTTATGAGGTTGGAAACATCCCCTCAAACCGGATCAAAATGCAAATGTTCCCAAAAGCAGGGTAAACTGTTTGGAAACTAGACTTTTCAATTCAGATTCCAAAAATGTAAAATTAAAAATGCTTATAACTTCAAGAATTGTTGCCAACAATGAAGCCAGAAGGAAATTTTTATTAGCATGTTTGGAAGTTACAACAACTAAAGGCAAACAAAATTTAAAAAAAAAAACACCCACTCCTATATGAAAGGCAGACAAAAATTTAATTTTAACTTGGCTAGCAGTTGCAAAACTGTTAACTGATACGATGCTGGGGGGAAAACACAATGTGCCTTTGAATTTAATAACTGCTGGTGTGAAACGAATTATCTTTCCCTAGAAGCAGCCTGCTGAAACGAACTAACCACAGTTTGAAGTACACATGCTTAATATTGAGGCATTTAAGATATGAAAATCAGCCCATATATGGTCAACACACCATATGTGAATAGCAGTCCAGAGGGCAATTAAGATACTGAAGTTTTTTTTCTGAATTCAGAGATTTCTCATTTTCCATCCTCTGGACTCCATGTGTAGTTTTCTGGAGTATAAGAAACATGTGTAAAAAAAACCAAGCAGGATCTTAAGCTCTTCACACTGGTGTCCCTTCAACTTGCTTCTTAGGGTTTTTTAAGTTCTTGTTTGGAAACAACAATACTTGCTCCAGATCAAGCATGGGCTCTTCTGTATTTGGTTTACCTTCCTTCTGCCTCTCTGCAAGAATCATAGCCCGTAGCAACGGTGGGTAGGGGACATAACGGACAGTTTCTTTCTCCACTGGTGTAAATTTCTTAAACTCCTCCTCTTCATGCTTTGGTACTACACGCCAGTCATGATACATGACCCTCTCTATTTCTCTCACCTCGTTATCTGATTCGCCTACGAAGAAATTGACAAAAGTGCAATGAAAAATTACACATGCTCACCATGATTTGTGGAGAATGATGAGACGTGGACAGTTTGATGAAATCTGACTTATTATCAGACATACATATGAACATGTATTGACATGCACACTCTAAATAGCATATGGTATTAACAGCCATGAATTATACTCTGTTGGTGTGTTATCAACTCCATGTTGTCTAAAAACCATAGTTTGGACATATTGCCTGAAAGGAGACTTGCTGCTCATCCCTGGTCACCTTCTCCTGAATGTAGAACTACACAATGGGTCAAAACAGAAACAGACCAGAGAAGATAAGCCACAATTTGTTTGACTGTTAAAAAAGGAAAAAGTTCTCCTTGACAGTTAAGTTCAGTCGTGTCTGACTCTAGGGGCCAGTGCTCATCCCAGTTTGTAAGCCAAAGAGCTGGCGTTTGTCTGTAGACGCTTTCCATGGTCATGTGGACAGAATGACTAGACACGCAGCACCATTACCTTCCCACCGAGGTGATTCCTATTTGCACAACACCATCACCTTCCCACCGAGGTGATTCCTATTTGCATCTGCATGCTTTCGAACGGCTTGGCATGAGCTGGGAAAAGCAAGAGGAGCTCACCCCACCATGTGGATTCGAACTGCCAACCTTTCGATTGATAGCCTAGCGGCTCAGAAGTTTAACCAACCCCATTCCCTTGATTGACAAAACACCTAGCATTAACAAAAACCATGGCTTACTTTATTAGTTAATTTTCTGAATGCCACAATGTATTGGGGCAGGGCAACAAGGAAGAATGAATTGCTGTACACCAAGTACCAGCCTAGCCATCAGATAGTGCAAGAATACCTATGCAATTCCACGCAGAGCAATTTCAGGTATGCACTGTAAGCCAAAACAAACAGCCAAACAGATGGTGTTTGGAGAAGAAAGGGGATATGTTAGCAATGGATTAATTCAGAACCTGATGTCATTTTAATAGATCAGCATGCAGACCACAATATTGTTTGGATAAAGATGTTTTTTCTATAATTCCACTTGCACTTACTATCAGGGTAGATCTGATTTAAACTGATTTGAATTATGATTTAAATATTAAACATTTTTGTCAATTATTTAAAAATACACTTCTTACATTTAAATTGGCAAAAATAATTTTTAAAATTTAAATCATGCATCATTTTTGTCAATTATTTAAAAATCCATTTTTTACATTTAAATTTGCAAAAATAATTTTTAAAATTTAAATCATGATTTAAATCAATTTGATCTCTTAAAAAATCGTTGCTTGTTATCCACCCTGCCCACTTTTATCATTCTAGACTGAACTAACCCCACTTTTAAAGGGCAAGAAGGAAGAAAGCAATCCATGTCTAGCCAAACAAAAACAAAAGTATAAAATCCCAAAGAAGGCAGTACAAAGAACCAGATGGTTCTCAGATTTCAGTAGCCAGAGCCTGAAAAAGTTACAAAGCATTACGTCCCCAAAAATTCTCAAAAACGAACACAAACACAAAAAAACTCCCAAGAATTCTCCAGCTAACATGGCCACCAACCCTATTGGCTTAGGGCCTCTCAGTTGAAGTTGAAAAAAATAACATTTTAAACCTTTGACGAGAGTCTGCAAGAAAAAAGCACAACATATACATGTATTTATACTGCTAAGCCATAAACCAATCATGATCACCCCTGCTGGCTGCAGCTGATAGGAGTTATGGACAAAAACATTTAAGGAGCAACGGGATCAGATATTGCTCCACAGGCTAATTTTGATGCAAATGCAGCGAGCATAATTTTGTGTGTCTCTCCCACCTCCCCAAGAAAGCCAATTCATTTGGAAGGTATTTCTCCATAGGCTAATTCTGATGCAAATGCAGTGAGCATAATTGTGTGTCTCTCTCACCTCCCCAAGAAAGCCAATTCATTTGGAAAGCTTAGCCATGAACCCCTTACCTTTGAATGTCAAGTATCCCCACGCTTTTCCATGATCCATATTCTATGACAGAACACATAAGAACACATATAGTCATCTCAAGAACACATTTTGGCCAAAACTCTTTGACCAGGATCCTACTGAGAAAAACTGCATGCGTAAGGTAAGAATGCAAGCTGATCTTTGCTATTTCCTGGCCATATAACCAAGCCTGTGCCAGACAGACAGAAGGATAGTGCACACTAAGCGTACAATTTCTGGTTCAGGCTACATGATTGCAATTGTATTCTGGCCCATGTGTGTGCATTGTGTGAGCCTCCAGAATGACTCTGAATGGCTCTCCCATCCAACATAATCTATAGTGAGGGATTTGGGGAGTTGTAAACCAACAGCATTTTTAAAACGACAAGTCAGCTCACATCTGATGCCATCTCTTCACGTGTCTTAATACACATATTGCTTCTAGCACTGCATTCTCAGAGGGCATGCAGGTAACTGGAAAGATGACCAGTGGCAAATGTGATTGCGCCTTGCATAAGCATTGGGAGCATAAGCTTCAGCAGAGAGGGGAGGATACAGATATAAATAAAGAGATATTTTATTACAACTAATTTGTTATGTGCTGTCGAGATGAAACCAACTCATAGTGATGCTAACAGGGGTTTCAAGGTGAGACACTGAATGAGTAGTTTTACCAGTTTCCACTCCCCCAGTGAGCTTCCATGGCTGAAAGGAGAGTCAAACCTATGCTTCATGTTTCTAATTTGTTGCTCTATCTATTACACCACATTGGGTGTATACATCACTACTAATACAGTGGTGCCTCGCACAGCAAGGTTAATCCGTTCCGGATTAACCCTCGCTATGTGAAAACATCACTGAACGGAACATAAAAACCCATTGGAATGCATTAAACATCGTTTAATGCGTTCCAATGGGCCTTAAACTTACTGTTCAGTGAAGTTTCCTCCATAGCAGCAGCCATTTTCGTGCCCTCAGTAAGCGAGGGGAGGGCGCGAAAACGCTGCGTGCGGCCATTTCGGGCATCCAGCGGCCATTTTAGAACCGCCGAACAGCTGATCCGCGGGCATCGCAAAGTGAAGATCGGTAAGCGAAGCGCTTACCGATCGTCGCTATGTGAGTTTTGCCCATTGGAACGATCGGTATGCCTCCGCATTAGTGATCCCAAAAAGGGGATCGCTATGTGGATTTGTCGTTGTACGGTGCGTTCGTTAAGCGAGGCACCACTGTACTAATAACTTATTACTACTACTGTTATTACTATTACCATTCCCCCAAATGGACCTCCTCCTTTCCCCCAAAAAAAGTTCTAAGTACAAGAGGGGAGCCTATCCCTATTTCTGCCCATGGAAACGGCTCACCTCAGCGGTATAATCCACTTCCACTCTGGTGACGGTCCAGTAACAAGGCTCACTGTGCTTCCATAGCCAGGATTTTCGTGTGACCATTCGCCCAATGCCAAAGTGCTTCAGCCGACAGAGCAGAGTGAAGAGTCGCTTTTCATTCCTCACATCTTCCCACGCCAGGGCAGGCAACCGCTTGCCCGTAAAGGGACGGGTCATTGTCTCGTAGTCCAGGGCAAAGCGCTGGGCATCTCGAGGCTGATTCTGCAGAGCACGAGCTTCACGGATCTTCTTGGCCATCTCTGCAATTGGCCGATAAACTTTACTGCGACGACCCATGGCTGCCTGAGGAACGCTGACCACAGTGACACAGCAGTTAGAGGACCTTTGGGTAGTGTGGGCGGCATATAAACAAACAATGACACAGATTCTCTTTGACTATGATGCTCACTCGTCAGTTACTCAACAAACAATGACACAGATTCTCTTGACTATGATGCTCACTCGTCAGTTACTCAGGATAAAATGAAGGTCTGGGGCAGGGAAGGTAAACACTTCTTTTGCAGACATCCAGAAACCAAAAATGGGTACAATGGACATCCTTCACAGACTATCGGGCAGTATTACTTCTAAAACAGCCTGTTGCCCTACATTTTATCCTAAGAGTGTTTTTGAGTGAAGCAACTGAATTAAAAATAACAGCCTTCCATCAACATTAGTAGCTTTTTAAAAGCCATAAACAGATCAAAGGCTCAGCTGAAATCCATAATGTTCCTTCCTAGCAAATTGAGGGCATTTTTGTATTAGGTGATGAAGGAATGAAAGGCATTGATCTATTGTGGCTTTCTCTTTTTGAAACCTTGTCTTCTTTGCCAATATCACTGAATTTTCAGTGGCCCAACTCTAATTTAGCCAAAAGATATTTAGAATACAGTTAAGAGACCACACTGAGCAGAACTGAGTTTATTTAGGTCAGCTTTGGTGTCTCATTTGGGAACAGGAACAACCATAGTTACTCCCTAACCCCAAGATAGTTTCCCATTTTTACAATTCTCCTACTTCCTTTCCTGGAGCTTTTCCGACAGGCAAAGAGACAATCAAATTGTTTATTTTGTTGCAAGTGACAGAGCCCTCAGGTGACATACCTAACAAAAATAGCAACGATCCAAAGACTGGTGTACATTTTTTTTTCCTTTCGAAGCTTCAATAAACTCAGCACTGGAACAGGAAGTGGATCTAGACTCCCAAATAAATAATGTTCATATTCTGATATAATACGACACCAAGGGATTAAAAATGATTTGGGGAAAATGATTTGGAAACAGTGGGCTGCTTTAGAAGCGTCATTTGGGGTGGTCCACTGCTTATTTTTGGGTACAAAGCTATAGTTCCCTTATTCATAACTGCGGCTGTGGCGACTGACATGTGCTGTTTGCAAAAACACCACCTTTTGTTTCAAAGGATGATGATGCAATTTGAGGGGAGAGTTTCCACCTGAGGGAGATTTGCGATACTGGATACCATAACTTATATTTTTTTAATGCACAATCAAATAAATCAGGCTACTCAAATAAGAATGTATTCAAAATGGCACTGGGAGCTGGACACCTGATCTGGCACAACAACAAATGCATAACGCAATAGTACCTGCAAGATCTCATCTATTTCCCAACTATTGACAAATAAGATTTTGTGAACAAGAAAGCCTATCAGTTTTATTCAACAGATTTGGTAGCAGCTTCTCCTCCTGGCTCACAGACCCCAAAGATTCAACAGGGGGGAAACTACGAGGCAGGGTCTGCCACACCAGCATCTTCCCTTCTTCGTCGTTTTAGAAGAGGTGGCCATTTAGTCTGCACAAGCAAAGCAGGGAAAATCCAAAGGGGGGGAATAAAGAACAAACATTTAAACATAAAAATAAAAAACAGACCAAAATCTTGCGGCACCTTAAAGGCTATTATATTTTAATTTGAGTTTTGTTCCCATTAAAACAGAGCAGTAAGCCTTTAAGGTGCCACAAGGTTTGGGTATTGTTTTTAAAAATGTTGGTTCTTTTTTTCCCCTTTTGGATCGTCCCTTCTTGGTTCCCTTCTCCGCTCGCTCACAAGAGACATCCACCCACAGCCAGACTTTCGGGAGGGCACCTTTTTAACTGGCTTTTCCGGGGGGTCTAGTCCTCATGAAAACCTCTTCGGAGCTCGAGGAGGGGGAACCTTTCCTCCCTCCCACCCACGTGCCCCCCCCTCCGCATGCCGCCCCTTTTTACTGCTCCGGTCACGAAAGGCAGCCCCGTCCGGACGCCAGCAACCGCCCTACCTCGCCCTCGCCCGGCATGCCGCCCCCTTTTACTGCTCCAGCCACCGCCTCTAGCCCTCCGTTCGCGAAAGGCAGCCCCGTCCGGACGCCAGCAACCGCCCTACCTCGCCCTCGCCCGCCGCCTCCCTCGACCGACCTCCTTTCGGACTTCACTGCCGCGCTCGCACGGGCTTAGAAACCAGGGCGGTCCTACGCCAGAAATCGTCCTGCCGGCAACGCTGCCAGTCTCTCCGTTCCGGACAAAAACCAGGCCGGCTTTCTTTCAAGGGCGGTCCGTCGAGGAAATCATCCGGCATGCAACACTTCCGCTCCCTGTCCGTTGAGGAAATCATCCGGCATGCAACACTTCCGCTCCCTGTCCGTTGAGGAAATCATCCGGCATGCAACACTTCCGCTCCCTCCTCTGTACACGCCTTTTAAGCGTACTGTACTAAGAAGCTGGTTTTAGTTTAGAAAAGGTCGCCGTGTTAGGCTATGCGAGCAGGCAGGGCGAAATCCAGAGAAAAATAAACACACAAAAAAAAGACAAAACCCATATGCCACCTTTACCTGTCACATATTAATGTCTTTAAGGTGCCACATGGTTTGATTTCCCCCCCCCTCCCCAAAGAAGTCTGTTCAACGCCCGTCCTTCTCTTCCCCGCTCCCCGTCCCTGGGCACCTCCCGGGTCCACGGCGGCTGTTTTTGCTTGACCAGGGGGTTTTACTTTGGCCCCCGATCTGGCACTCCTTGACCTAATACTGCGTGCATGGTGGAAACGTTTCTTGGCTAGAGGCACGTCCTTCCTTGCAAAGCATCCTTATTCGAAAATCGAGCAGGGGAAGGCAGACAAATGGGGCAAAGTATACTGCCCAGTTAGTGGGCAGTATACTAACTCTGAGCAGTTTACATCAAAGAGACCGTCGATGAAATAAAAGTAAAGCAAACATAAGAAATATAGAAACAAAATTTAAAAAAATTTAAAAATCAGATTTAAAAAAAAAAGAATTATGCTTAAGCTTGAATAACCCTAAACAGTGGCGAGGTCATTGCTGTATATATAACGAAAATTGCTGTCTGCTCCTGTACAAGAAATTATGACAAAGATATTAATCACTGCCAGTCATTATGGCACTCACATACTGCTTTCAGGGTGGGAAGTAGCCTGCCCCTGAAAATCTAGGAAGTAGAAGTGGGAGGTGCTGTTGCCTTCCTGTTCCTTTTATGAATTTCCTATTTGAATCTATTTGCTTTAGATTACAATATTTTGATATTTCGGGCCTCCCGCAACACTGAAACATGGCCTCCAGGAATATCTCTGAAACTAAGCTTGGCTCTTCGATTGAAAGAGGTTTCAGGCTATTGAGATAGAACTTTAGCATAATCTAGCATGCCTCTTTTGGTTTTGTTTGGGCAGCAACAAAGAGAGAGAGAGAGAGAGATCAGATTGATTCTTGGAGGACAGTTCTTTCAGAAATTCTCAATTTGTTTAGTTAAATAACCTGGTATGTTCAGAGTGGGAGGAGGTATTGATGAGACCACCACCAGAGATCTGGCTGTCAAGTGTTGATCAGAATAAGCTTGAATCAGTACAATTTCATCCAGAACTGAGGAAAATCTGCCAGACCTTCATACAATCCAGTTTACTATGATCAACAATAGGCAACCAGATCCTTTTTGTATGTTCCCATCTCAACCAGGGCATTGTCCCCAACATATGATAGGTGCGCTGGCACTTTGAAGATACAAAGTTTTTTAGTAGGACTTCCAAGATTTGTACAAAGCACAAGGGAGCACTGGGCTTTCCCCCGTTTTTTTTGAAATAAAAATTTGCAGAGCTACGGATTATAGTCTCGCAGAATCACCTGTCTTTGCCCCATCAGTCTGCCCACTGCAGGATTCTGAGAATTATAATCCACAAAAGTGTTACTTCTAAGCTTTTCTTTAAAGAAACACAGCCAAACAGCCCAAAAAACCTAAAACAACAATTTTCTTTAAAAAGTGTGGAACATAAGCTTCACCTACTGAAATTCCCATTTCTGTGCAACTGTTAGAAGTACAGGAACACTGTCCTCTTTTCCATCTAGAAAAGTGTATTAATGGAAAGCTGCAATTTCCTTCCCTTTTGGGGCCTTGTAGGACACAGCATTCAGAGTACTGTGGAGTAAGGAGAAAGGATGGCTATCAGTCAATCTGGAGCCAGTTGGGCTACAATCATGGCCAAAAATATTGGCACCCTTGCAATTATGTCAGAAAATTGTTGGAGCTCCAAATGTTTTGGTACTCACATATTCATTTCTTTGGTTTGCATTGGAATGACACCAAAAAATAAACACAAAGACAAAAAGTCAAATCTGATACAATCCCACACAGAAACCCAAAAATTCACTGGCCAAAATTAGTGGCACCCTTAACTTAATATTTGGTAGCATGTGGCCATGTCTGGTGGGTGCTGTAATCCAAAACAAGAGGTCACCAGTTTGGTGTGGTTGCATTTAGAAAATGAATGAACAAACATGGATTTATAAAACGATGCATAGTGTGGAGGAAAGGGGATAGGGTGAAGTTTGCTCCCCCATCGTATAATACTGGAATTCCCTGTTTTCTTATGAAGCCAGGTGGAAGTGAATACAGGAATCAGAAAAATAATGATTTTGTACAGCTTATAGTAAACAGATTTGTTTTTAGAAGACAGGATACAAGCGATTCTGATTTAAATGGCTTTAAAAGGGTATTGAAAAATTTGTGGAGAATAAAACTACTGGTGATTATTAGTCAGAGTATCTGTTACTGCTAGGATCAGTTTGTTAAATTTCCAGCAGACTTTAGTCACACTTGCTCTACAATAACATAATCTCTGTATATAACAGCGGCACCAACACTGCTCATATCTTTTTCATTAATAGGGAAGCGGTCTGGGAGCTCCTTCCTGTTCTTCTCTGTATACCAAGAGACTCTTCTCCTGTTTCTCACATTACCTATTTATTGAAAAAAGGCCTTCACGGTGACAGTACCAATGGTGTAGAAGACCATTTCAGCACTATGACAAGAGAAGGATAGTTATAGCCTTTGAAACGTTGGTCTGCAACTTCCATCAGACTTAGGCAACCTGGCTGATGGAAGCTGCAGGTCAACATCTAAAAGACCTTGTGTTTACCCATCTCTCAGCTACAGTATCATTTGGTATTATTGGACAAAGACCTTATATTGACCTAGTCCTTCTAATCTGACATGTTAAATAAGCAGGTTATTTTCTGATGCCCTTTGGGGATTTATTTGAAGGATGTGTGACGGTATACAACTAAATATACAAATATCAACTGGGGCATACGTCACTCCACCATAATTGCAAATAACAGTTTGTTAGGAAAGAAGAAACCAAGGGAGAGAAAGGAAAGGTCTGATTCTTATTCGCATAATAACAAACAAGGGTTCGGCACTCTCCTGATCCAAGTCACTGAGAACTAGGAAACCTAGGAAGCAAGAGATGGACTCCGATTTTAAATGAGATCACAGTAAATTTCAAGTCCTCTTCGTTCATAATCAACGCAGGTTTGTACTTTTAATTACTTTTTCATACAGTTCAGTATAGGAAAATCCCGAGTAAGACATGCAAAGCGATGAAAGAAGTGGCAGGGCTTGCAAGAGATGAGATAACAGGGGCAGCAGGTGATGCCGTCTTTTCCCAAGAGTTCCCAAAATGGCAACAGGTAATAACCCTTTTGTCTTGACATTGCAGGCCCTAAGCTCCAAAATATCATAGACAAACCAATACAGTACACTTAGATGGCTTCTCGGTTTTCCTCTCAGAAATGTTCATGGGGTTCGGTGTTGTCTTCTCTAGCTGCTCAAAGTGTGACATTCAAATAGCTTCTTCCACGAAACTTTGCATACTGCAGTTGATCAGGAGGCCAACCAATAAATCAGATCGTGGGAGCCGTTTCCCTCCTGAGGCTACACTTTGTTCAGAGCTGAAAATGCTTAGAAGTTCCAGGATTCAATGAAGGGATTATTTTCATTCAGAAATGCCGTCATTATGACTGAAGTCAGCTTGAACCACCTTCATAAGGACATGAAAGAAAAGCTTTATTTTACAAGATGTGTATATATATATATATCTACACAGATCTCTGGAAAATAAAAATTATGTTCTCCTGCATCTCTTCCGTTGGCACGCTTCAGCATCTGTACTGCAAGAGCTATCTGAATCACTTCCAGGAGAGGTAGATGATGATGACTGAAGTGAGCCCCAGTTCATGCTCAGCACCCAACCAAGTTTGTTGTTCAGAATTTGCTTGAGTCCTGGGGGAAGAGGTAACACCTCTAGGGTATCAACATAATCAGGAAGTAGTTGGCGCAGGCGATAACAACAGAGGTACTGCAGGGAAGTATGGGTAGCGCAGGAACGGATGACTTTCATGCTGCTTTTGGCTGCCGTCGAGCACACCATGGGGTAAAATCTCTTGTTCTGCAGTTTGGTGGCAGCCACCCCTAGGTGAAAATATCAACAAGGAGGTTCAAAGTTAACACATGGCCACAGAAATGGGAAAAACCTACACATATACTCATCTGGAACCTTCAACTCATTGCCCCAGCAATCCACGGAATGGATGAGGAATTCGAACACAGTTCCAATTATCCTTCAATCGCTAGCCAAACAAGTAGGAGGTAACAGCAACTGGGTTATTCTATCCCTTAACATTACTGGAAACTTCCTGAGCTAACAAAAGACAGCAACAGCATCCTTTATATTCTCTATTTATGAACAGCAAAAATGAACAAGGTCTAGTGATGTTACTTCTAGAATATCATACCTCATCTGAACAGTTTTCAGATATGAAGGGTAAGTTCAACATCTGCATAGCTCATCTTTTACACACACAAACATACAGTGTTCCTTTGGTTTATGCTATATATTGTTATTTTCAACCAATAGATGAGGTGTGAGAGGCTTGGGGCTCATTTAGCTGCAAATCTCTTGTGTGTTAATTCTTTGTGGCAGGGCGTGGAAGAGAGAAAAAGAACAGGCTTACTGATTAACCTTGAAGAGCCCCTCAAATTTTCCCCATTTCTCCCAACTGAAGAAAGGGAGGTAACATGACAAAACACTCTCTTCCAATACCTCCTGCTATCAAAGCTGTGGATTATAGATTATGCCATATCTGGCATGTTTAAAGCTACTTTAAACCCCACCCTCTTGCTCTTACCTATACATTTCCTGTTTTTGAAAAAAGTCAGAGTCCCGTGCCACGTGTCCAGGTGCACCCCGATGATGGACCCTTGGCCAAATCTTGTTGAGAAGTTGGTTCGGTCTCCCTGGTGATGAAGGAGCCCTAGAGGACCATGGGAAGCCATGATTACAATGCACACTGCAGATTAATTCATTCCTCCTAATTATTTGTGCTTTAGACTCATGGGACGGGAGAGAACACTTTGGAGGTCATTCAGTCCAACTCCCTGCTCAGTGTAGGATCTGCAACACAAGATGTAATTACACAACACCCAAACAGATAGCTATCCAGCTTCTGCTTACATACTTCCAGTTAAAGAGAATCCACAAACTCTGGAAACTGTTTGTTTTGCTGTTTTGCTGGCTGGCACAGGTTAGGTGCTTTTCCCAAGGCCAAAATTCTTGACAAACCTGGCATGAAATATTAGCAATAATTCACCTCTCAAAGGCTCTGCTTATAAAGCAAAATACTTTTACTTTTTCAGTTACAACTAAATAAACAGCACTGCTCTTTTGCATAGATACTGAAGACAGGCACGACCTGTCCAAACACCTTTGTAATCTTACTTCCTCCAAGATGACTTCCTTTGTGTGGGAGAGTTCATGCATTCATTCAGTACTGAGCAATGATTCATGAGAGATCAATCATATTTCAGATACCATCACAAGAGGGCTATTACTTCAAAAGAATACTGTGATTTTTACAGAACAGCAGCAACTAGTAATTATGTTCACCTGAGCAAGAAACATCCACATATGAATCATACATCACTTCCAATTATTACCAAATGTTCATGGCAGGATACTTTTGGTACTGCTTGTTACCTGTATATGAAAGTCCCCAGCTATCTTCATCTTTGCCCAGCAGGCTACAAAATGTGTGACGATATTTGTCCAGATTCACATCTGATGTCCCAATTCCCACCATCTAGAATAGCGAAAAGAGGAAGACAGCACAGACAAAGGTTATAACCATATGATGCCAGTTATGCAAGTAGCCCAAATAATACAACTTATACCAACACTGGCCTCCACTGAACCTATTTAAAAGTTCTATGGAGCTTATTTAAAAACAAGACTCTATGCAAAACCACATGTTAAGCAATGCTTCTGAACACATTTTAATTCACATTCCCAAGTTTTTAAAGCAAAATTCATTCCTTAGATTAAGGGAACAGCATTGTGGCAGCCACCTGTTTTTGGACTGTAACTCTCAGCAGTCCTAGGCTGCATGGCTAAAGGTAAGGGATCATAGGAATAACAGTTCAACAACATCTGGAAGCCAACAATTACTCAACTCATGGTTAAATACCAAAGCAGTCAAGCAGCTATAATTTCTTCCTTTTTTCCTAACAGGCAGATGTGCTAGTTTGTTGAATAGCTGAGAAACAGAAATGGAACATCTATAAGACTAAGTACTATTTAATTTTCATAAGCTTTTGGTGTCTAAGCACACCTTTTCAGGTAAATAGGTCATCTGAATAAGTGTGCTTAGACACAAAAGCTTATGAAAAATAAAGAGCAATTAGTCTTACAGGTGCAATATCACTGCTTCTTTTTAAGTTATCCATATTGAATACAGCCTAATAAAATTTGATAGCTTGGTTTCAGGTTAATTAATGATTATATAATCATTAATTAACCTGAAACCAAGCTATCAAAGTCAATAAAACTACACCTAAATATTTTTCTTACTATAAAAAATGTCCCTCCCCTGACACTTTCTATGGGAATTCACCCATGTTTTGAGCTGGGGAATACCCAAATCATTCTGGCTCACGTCCTGAGGCTTCCAAATGGTACATCAATCTGTTCTGCCGTGCTAAAATTAATTATTTTATGAAACAGATATCATGTTGTGGCTCACAGTGTAAGATAATCTGCTTTGTAGATCACATGACTTTAGTCATATGACTTTAGTCATATAGGCACACAAGTAGGAAAGACTGGTACAAAAGATGGCATTTGGGGGCATGCAACAAAGTGTCTCTACTGATTTTTATTCCCAAGCAATCTGATAAATATATCACTCCAATGAAAACAAAACAACACCCTGAAACATGCAAATCTACTGTCTTTCATACATGATCTACAGCAAGGCCTAATGTACAAGTAGTAAAACTGTGAGCTGGGCCTGCTTTCTGCAACAACTACTGAGGGACCAGTAATCTCAGTACTGGTTCACATATAAGAACGAGCCTATCTACTAAGGCAGTGATGGCGAACCTTTGGGCCCCGAGTGCCTAAACTGGGGGGGACAACCCGATGGGTGGCAGCAGAAGCGGCGGAAGGGGGAATCGCGGGCACGGAGGTCCCTCCAGACCCCACTCTCGAGCCATCTCCAGTTGTGCCCAAACCCGCCACTGCCTGTAGCTTGGCCGGCCCGCCACCACCGCCAGCTGCTCCAAATCCTGGCCTGCTGCCCATCGGGGCGCTAGCACTGCGGCTGCAGCCGCCTCCTCAGGTTTGGCTGCCAGGGGTAGCTATCCAGCGACTTATGGCTCATGTGCCCCCAGAGGGCTCTGCGTGCCAACCGTGGCACACGTGCCACAGGTTCGCCATCGCTGTACTAAGGTAAACTGCCTAGATGTGAAGATCGTCAGGGAGTTCCATCACCCTCCCAGGTGCATTTGGTGGAGACACAGGGGAGGGCCTTCTCTGTTGCTCCTCTTAAACTCCGGGACTCCCTCCTATGGGAGGCCAGCCTAGTCCCATTTTTGCTGTGCTTCCACAAGCAGGCCAAGGACTTTCTCTCCAGGCAGGCTTTCCCTTCATCACTGGCTGAGAGGATTTTTCTTTTTTTAAAAATGTGATTGTGCACTGCTACTTTTAAACGTTTTTAGTACTGCTTTCATTTACCATTCTTAATATATTTAATTCTTTTTAAATATTGAAATAACTTATTGTTTTCAGCTTTTAGTATGGTTTCTTTTGAATTAAGTAAGCTGCCTTTAGTCCTTTTTTTAGGAGGAATGGCAGGAGACAAATATTTTAAATGAATGAATAAATAAGCAAACTGTCAATCCAGTCCTGAATTATCTAGTGTTATGGAGGCCATATTTTTGGACTACAACCCCACCACCATTGGCCATGTTTGAGGGGAGTGGCAACCAGTTAACACCTGGAGAGCCAAACACTGCCCATCATCATACCATATCAGTGCCATAGACTGGTGAAGTCATTTTGATTTCCCAGAAGTGTTGCCCCTCCGCCAGCTCCTTGTTGCCCCGAATGGCAGCAGTACCACAGCTGTAGTCCATGTGGAAATTAACCTTGCGGTTGTCACAGGTCAAGAGCGTTGCCGTCGATTTGTTCAACTCATCCCACACCCAGTCGAAATCTGGGAAGGAGGCAGAGGAAGTAGCAAATTTTCAACCAGCCCACTCAAATTGTACCCCTCAAAAAGTTCTCAATCTCTTTCCTCAAAAAGCTGGTGTCGTCCTCACTGAAATACTGTGGTGCCTCGCTTAACGATTGCCTTGCTTGACGATGAAATTGCTTGACCATTAGGTTTTTGCGATTGCTAAATGATGGTTTAAATGGGAAAAATCCGCTTCACGATGATCGGTTCCCTGCCTCGGGAACCAATTTTCGCATTAAGACGATCTAAAAACAGCTGATCGTCGGGTTTCAAAATGGCTGCCGGATGTACAAAATGGCCCCCCGTTGTTTTCTAGGACGGATTCCTCGCTTTACAGGTACCAAAAATGGCCGCCCCTATGAAGGATCTTTGCTGGACGGTGAGTTTTCAGGCCATTGGAATGCACTGAACGGGTTTTCAAGGCGTTTCAATGGGATTTTTTTGTTTCGTTTGACGATGTTTTCGCTCTACAGTGATTTCACTGGAACGAATTAACATCGTCAAGCAAGGCACCATTGTACTTTGGACTTGAGATAAGGGTTCAATAAAACTGACTATAAGGGATGTGTCATTCAGGTTTGTTTGTTTGTATATCCAGTTAAAGGGAACAGAATATGATGAGAAAAATCTCTAAATTGCAAAGCTGGAAGGGACCCAATGGATCACCGAGAAAAATCTCTATCCAAAATGATGGACAGCCACTGCCACCATGAACAGACCATAATGGGCTATTACTTGAAATAAGAGAGCTTCCTATATTCCACCACAGTATTCTAGGGCACCAAATGTTTCAAATTTAACATTTCTCACAGGTATTATGAATCAGTCTTTCATTTCTAATAATCTTAGAATTGCAAAGCCGGAAGGGACCCAATGGATCACTGAGTCAGTCCAGCTCCTGTCAAGGAGGCAGTGGAGAGTCGAGTTCTCAACACATGGCTCTGCAGCCAAATACTTTAACCACAGAGCTATCCAGCAGTTATCTTTTAAAAAAATATGTTGCATTAATTTTCCTCTAATGGTTTCAAGGCGGCAACACCTTCCTCTATCCACTTTATCCTCACAACAACCCTCTGAGGTAGGTCCTGCTCAAAGACTGTGAGACATGCTCAAGGTCACCCGGTGCTCTTAGGGGCACAAAGCATTCCAGAAATCAAAGAAAAGACAGGATGGTCCAAACCAATCAATTATAACTATGAAACTGGACCTCAGATCAGTACCAAATCTGGATGTAGCAGAAAGTCTGCCTTTGTTCTGTGCCAAATTTGGGGACATCTGGGCAAACCGACAAAAGTAGACATTTGAGATCATAGTCTCATGAGGTATAGTCTAACACTTTAATGAGTATATCACAATGGTGTTTCGGGGTATGTCCATTTCTTTGCCATCTGAACTTCTAAAATTGCTGCCAAGATAGAAGGAGGTATTTTAGTTCACCAGTATGCTCATTATCTAGGATTCCACACTGATTTCTTCACCTCATCTTATCATGCCTAAGGAGATCACAGTCAGCTATTGAATTTTACCCAAGATTGGAGTCAACTAAGGACTAGCCTGAAGCTGCAATGTTCCACTTATCAGTCAGGGAAGCTCAGTTTGACTTTGGGTCAAATCGCGTAAGTAAGAAGTGCTCCTGGCACTTTCACTTCTCTGCCTCTTAATTACAAAGAACTCAGCTCATTCCCAGCCCATCTTTTCAAGGACAGTAGCAACCCAGAAGAAAGTACTGGAGAACTTCCTTACATTCATCTTCTTCTCCACACTGACAGTCTTTGATTCGATGGATGGTATGGAGGCTGGAGCAGTAGGGAGCTTCGTTCTGATTCTCGCAGTTACAATAGGACTCTCCAGTCACAGGAACAGCTGTGGGTATGGAAGGCAACAGAGAAGGATATTCCAGTTCTGAATCAGAGTCGCTGTGCTGCAGGTGGAGAAAAAGAAACAGCACGTCGGTTCTCTAATAAATTATTAACAACCAGGCAAGGTACCTCAAAGTATTGTTAAAACATGGATTTCCAAAACTTTTGGCATTAGGTTCCCCACTTTGATTTTTGAGGAATCCTCACACATCCCACCTAATCTTTACCTTTTCAACCCCCAAAATTCAAATGTATAATTTAAAAATGAACAAAGATATGTCACAAAATGTATCAAAGTAAGCAAAATCAGTTTAATATAATATACTCAATGCATTTCCTTTGTTTAATTGCAGCCATATCAAAATATTTTTTTCTCCTTTGCTATAAAATTGGTAACACTGGTAAGTTATTGTGAACTGTTATTTATTTATGCTAAAATATGGGCAGCTGCCTCCTAATATACAACCCCATCCTCCATACACCAACACTACTAGGACCAACTGTATTGTGCCAACTTGAGTTTGGCATACGTTTTCATCAAGACAGGTGACAAAGTAAAATAGAACATTGTAAAATTTTAACTGCTCCTCAATGCATTGCCTTCCTCTAGGTTTTGGACTTTGTTTTTTTCCTGGCTATCTCTGTTTTTAAATTAGGACTTCACATGTTCAAAATAGGAAGCAAAGTTTCAAGTTTCTCAGAATCCTTCCAGGGAAGAAGCTGAAGAGATGCTATTGTTCTCCAGAGCCCAAGACATTCTGAATCCTTCACTGGGTGGTGTTTACAGACTGATCTAATCAATTTCGGGGAATTCACCGTGAAATGGCAAGGCAGTGTTTTAAAATCTAAGATATACATGACTCATGAAGTCATGCAACTGGATCAGTCTCTCTGCAATCAAAAAACATTTCAATAATGTAATAAGACAGTGAGTACTTGGCACTGGACCTTAGGAAATCCAACTCTGAGTCCTTATGCAGCAGTGGTTCCCAAACTTACGTCCCCAGATGTTCTTCACCGCTAGCTGTGCTGGCCAGGATTTCTGAGAGTTGTAGTCCAATAACATTTGGAGACCCAAGGTTAGGAACCACTGATATAAAGTCATGACACTCACTGAGTGGACTTGGGCTACTCATTCTCTCATTTGCCCTGGCCTACCCCACAGGGCTGTAGAAAGGACAAAATGGGAATGTGTCTTGAGCTCACCAGAGAAAGACATGACATGTAAATGTAACTTATGAATAAACCGTAAATAAATGTTAGTATTTCATTAAGGAGGTCAATATAGAAATTATGCGGATGGTATAGCTGTTCACAGCCCTACCTGTCCATCAGAATCGTACGACCATCCATGGGGCCCAGAAGCCAATGCTACTGCTTGTGAGTCTCCATCATACCGCACTCCACTGAGGACATAGTGCCAGGCTCTGCTATTGCGTATACGTCGGGACATTGTGTCTTTGGAGAAGTAATCTGGAAGGTAAATCCAGAAATGAACTCAGGACAAAAACAGGTGTGCCTTCTTGAAGATTTATCTTCTCTTCCAATGGGCTGTTAACTATATAACAGGAATAATTTTAGAACAAACTGCCAATGGAAAAAGCAGTACAGAAAACAATAATATTGGACATCAGCTCCTTCCCCAGTGACGTGGGGCAGAAAAACTGATTGTGACGGAACCCCATAGGAAACATTGTTGTGTGAGGCGGCAAATTTTTCAGAAAAAGCCATCGTTGTGTGAATTTATTGTTGTGTGAGGCATTCGTTGTGCGAGGCACCACTGTATGCTTTCTCTCATGCACCAAGCAGGTTAATCTGAGGCACTGCTTTCTGGTCAAGGAAGCATGGAAGTGCATAACCATACACAACATGTGGTTCTCGGAGCACTCACTGAACTCAGCCTCCAAAATGTCTTGACAAACATTTGTCACTCCTGCCACAACAAATCCAGATTCGCTCCTTGTTACTGAGTATCTATCACAGTTTTGGGAAGACGGTGCTATGTTCCAAATGTAAAGGTGAGGCGGTATAGCAGGAACTGAAAATACTGTAAGGTGTTATAACAGCAAACAGCCCTTCATTAGTGACAGTGTGACTGGCAAGTTCAAATCTGATGAGCATTGCTCAGCTACCTCCATGCCTCAAGCTGCTTGCCTCCATCACTTCTCTCCCTCCGTCCTCCACATGAGGTCAGGAGGGAGCTTCCTTTGACCCATCTACCCACGAAAGTGCCTTTCTTTATCCTCGCTTTTACTTTTAGCTAGAAATTCCTGAAAAGAACTGACTTTATTATTCACAAGGCCCATAAATGCATTTTAAGATTTACAAACTGCATAATAGGCATCCCAGCGATTTGCAGTTAGGTGCCAGACTTATATAATCTTGCTTATGCTGTAGTTGGGTGCTTTTTCCCAAATCTGTGTACACTTGCTTTCCAGAGTCTGTCTGTCTGTCTAAATAAATAAA